TTTTTTTTTTTTCAAAAACTCTGAATTTCCGTTTATTTAAAAGGAAAAAAAAAGAAAGCTTTACAATGCACAAACCGTCTAATAGGGAAATTTATATTTCATTCCTATTAGTCCGATCGAGTTATTAATATATTATTTTAGGGAAAAAAAATATATATTGTAAATGTGAATACTTTGTAATTTGAGCCAGCCATGACTTGAACATTTTTAGTTTTTAGATTACACAGGTTGAAACTTTTAGCTGCCGTCTTAGCAAGTTCGCACGAACATACGCCAAGCATGTATTTTTTTATATATATATTATCGCATTGTACACCTCAACTAACAAGCCAAGGAAGATATAATCTATTACATTAGGTGCGTGTACCATTTATATTCAACTACAAATGTTAGTATCAAAAACTATTACTATAGTTTTAGTATTGCTAATTTTACTACACTTTTGTTATGTATATGTAGGGAAGTCATAGGGATTATACATTCAGTTTGAGTAAAGGTTAAACAAACGAAAAACAAAAAAGCATATATTTTATGATAAAGGGCCTTTAACTTATTATGGCCAAAGCACTGATATTATATATTTGCTGTAAAGAGAATTATAAGAGTTTTATTTTTTGGATATTAAACGTTAATAAAGACATGTTTCCATTAACTTATACTTGAGACCGTTATTGACTTGTTTATTTATTATTATTATTCAGGATTTATATAGCGCCAACTGTTTTTTGCTCAGCACTTTACAATATAAGGAGGATATTACAGTTACAATACAAATCTAGACAGGGGGGTAAGGAGGGCCCTGCCCCTGAGAACTTGTTGTTGTTGTTGTTGTTGTTGTTGTTGTTGTTGTTGTTTATTATTTTTTATTATTATTCAGGATATACACTGAGTGGCCAGATTATTATAACCACCCCATCAGTACTTCGTTGGGCCGCCTCGTGACTTCACGAGATGCTGAAAGGTGATGCGAGGAATCTGACACGGCACTGTTGCCCTTCTGTTGTCTTGTACCAGTCTTGCCACTCTCCGTTCTGCCCTAACATTGACTAGTCGCTGTCGGCCACAATTCGCACGTTCAGACCCAGATTTTCGGCTGACAGTCCAGTCTTTAAACACTTTAACAACAGCTGCTCTTGAACATTTAACGAATTCTGCTGTTTTGCTGATACTCGCTCCATGGCTCCGAGCGCCAATAATCATCCCACGTTCAAAGGCTGTTAAATCGCGTTGTTTCCCCGTATCTTCAGAAACAAATCACTTCTACTGTCGTGGTAACCAACCTGCTTCCCTATTTATAATGGTCTGGCCCTCTAGCAACTTCAGCGCGAAATTATAGCTAATTTGCCTACAAACGTGTGTGTGTGTGTCCCAACAGTTTACAATATAAGGAAGACATAACAGTAACAACACCCCCCCCCTCCCCCCCCAAAAAATGCACCAATTTCATACATCCAGGATTATCCTATGTGGGCAGATGAGGTGCAAATTGAACTTGCAGCAGTGACATGACCTCTCTCCAAACTCCCAATTTAAGTATCATCCGCAAACACAGACACATTGCTATTAACACCTTCCCACCTTCCCTGATATCATTACTAAACAGATTAAACAATATGGGGCCTAGCACAGAACCCTGGGGCACACCATTCATTACTGTAGACCAATGTGAGAAAGAGCCATTTATCAATACTCTGGACAATAATCTTGTGGCTTATTCTCTTATACACTGATCTCCACGGTGCCATCTGCAGGCCATTTTAGCACCCACATATATACACTATATTGCCAAAGGTATTGGGACGCCGGCCTTTACACGCACATGAACTTTAATGGCATCCCAGTCTTAGTCTGTAGGGTTCAGTATTGGGTTGGCTCCGCCCTTTTCAGCTATAACAGTTGCAACTCTTCTGGGAAGGCGTCCACAAGGTTTAGGAGTGTGTCTATGGGAATGTTGGACCATTTGTGAGGTCCGGTACTGATGTTGGACGAGAAGGCCGGGCTCGCAGTCTCCGCTCTAATTAATTCCAAAGGTGTTCTATCGGGTTGAGGTCAGGACTCTGTGCGGCCAGTCAGGTTCCTCCACCCCAAACTCCCCCATCCATGTCTTTATGGACCTTGCTTTGTGTACTGGTGCGCAGTCATGTTGGAACAGGAAGGGGCCATCCCCAAACTGTTCCTGCAAAGTTGGGAGCATGAAATTGTCCAAAATGTCTTGGTCTGCTGATGCTTTAAGAGTTCCCTTCACTGGAACCAAGGGGCCAAGCCCAATTTTACGTGGCCTACTGCTTCGAGGGAGCAAGTCAGATGGAGGACCGGAGTTCAGCTTTATGTTATCTACCTTTAGAAAACTTGTGAGATTTTAGTAAGGTGTTCCCGCCCACTAGCTTCTGCGGCACAGTCCGTGGGACTGAATGTTTGTTTTTGTTGACCTGGTTTCCTAACATATGGTAATTAATTACAATACCTATGCACATAGTTCTGGAACATTAGATTTCCGGTACAGTGAAGCATCATTTCAACATTCTCTGACTTTGGTTTGTGCATTTTTGCAAAATTTGTTCCCTCGGCAGGAATGGGATGTGGAAAGCTCTGGATGACTGAAGAATGGGCCTGCAAGTGGAAGCTCACCCTAGAATTACTTGATAAACATTAAATAGCCGTATGACGTGTGCACCCTGATAATGGCATAGCGCCATGTTTGAGTAATGTCCCCACTGTGGTTGTCCAGCATTGGAAGACACGATGGTGTTCTGGTAACTTATCCTCTACTCATATCTGTGCGGTGCCATCACCAAGTGACTATAGCGCCTGCAAGGAACCACAAGGTATATACCGATCAGGTATGGAGTGGGATATCTACATAGTTTTGACAACGTCAGGGCGCAGAAGGAGCACGCTCAAGCAGTCCGGCTTTGCAATCACAGGTTGTCGATACCATGAGGAGGGATGAGTGACCCCATGATTTGCATGGTATCGCTGGTAATTGCTGGACAACCGGAGTGCAGACAGAAGTCAAACATGGTGCTGTGCATTAATCAAGGTACAGTTGTAATGAAAAGCAATTGAAATAGGTGGGATGATCTCTAGTGGGATTTGAAGAAGGTGGTTGCAGCACGCAAACCCAAGAATATTAGTGAACTGGGGGCCATTGCTCATGAGGAATAGGCTAAGATTCCTCAGGAACGCTGCCAGAAGCTGATGTCTGGCTATGTATCTTCTTTGCAGCAAGTCATAACAGCAAAAGGCAGCTCTACTACAGATGTCTGCCACGAGGGGTTAAATAGTTATGAGACTGCAGAAGTCTTTAAAAGTTGCATTTTCGGTTGAATTTGGGGAAAGCACTCTAAACATTTTTTGCGTTGACCTATTTCAATTGCTTTTCTTTGATTTGTTCATTGCAAACAGCTGAAAGTTTGTACATTTTGCCAATAAGGAATACTTGAGGTCTTAAGGTGCCCATACACCTGCCCATTATTGTACGATAATCGGCAGGTGTATAGAAGACGTGCGACCGTTTCTACTGTACGGTCGCACGTCTTTTGTCTTACAAGCATGTTGGAAAACCAGCCGAGAATCATAAGATTTCCGTGCTCGTAAGACAAATGCCGCATGGGCCGGTGTGCGGAAGCGCACACTGCCTGTTCAGCATTGCAGTCATCGGAATCCCGCCCTCAGGGGGCGGGCTTGCGATGATCGCAAGTACGATCTGCCTGTCCAAGATGGGCAGATCGTACGCTTTTTTTAATTACCTTACAACCATCGCAAGACAAAAGTCTTGTGATGGTTGTAAGGTGTATGGCCACCTTAATTCTAACCAATATTTGATTTTCTGGTTCATACCAACACATTTGCTGACTTTCGACATGTTTAAATCTGAGCAAATACATCCCCCTGCCATAGCAATACACCCCACACACACACACACACACACACACACACACACACACACATTTCTCACTGACAAAAAGCAGTGAAATATCTGTAATTTCCGAGATCACAACCCCTCTCGTCATTTCTCTATTTAGTTCCTCGGAAATGTAGACATTTATACATTATTATTTAATCTCTTGAGGGACCGTAATATCCAGGGATACCAGTATCCCTAAAATATGACATGATGCGTGGACCTATATGGGTTGGACTTGATGGACATATGTCTTTATTCAACCCCAAATACTATGTAACTATGTAACATTATGAATGAAGGGTGTCATGGTGGTGCCCTCTCAGGGGGTTAGGCCATTGTACACTGCACTTACAGTATGTACGCAGACTTCCAGGTTTAAAGAACTATGGGGTAAGTGCTTTTCCCCATAGTTCTAAGGGTCACGGGAGGACACAAACTAGCATCCTCCCGTTACCCTAAGCTCAGTATACCTCGGGCTACAGCTCGCGGTATACTGAGAACGCTGCAGCCGGGATGGATCCCGACATTACTGTCGAGATCCACCAAGCTGCATGATTGATCGCGGGCTCTGCCTATA